CTGTGACTTCCTCTGAGTTTTGAATGACGGCAGGAAAGATTTCTGGAGGTGAACATTAACCCAACCCTTTCTCTTTGGGGATATTGTCAGTTCAGCTAGTTCTTAAGCTTTGCTGGATGACTCTTACAACCTCTTTTTGTGAGGTCCCTTAGACCTTGAATTATTGTTAAGATGTTTTCTGAAATGTTGCTGGCAAACCAGTAGTGCTGCTCCAAGTATAATCACTGCAGCAGTTGAAGTTTGAGGACCACTGAAAGAAAAGTTCACAAAAAGTCTCCCTTTTTAGCTATCTTTTATAAATTATTTGAAAAACAGTACATGACTTATACATAGCTAACATTTACTGAACAATGTTTAAAAGGTGTCAGTTGTCATATAGAGACACTTGTAGGCATGCATTAAATAATCTGATACATTACTATTATAGATAGTAATGTAAATGAGACTTAGAAAGATTAAATAGCTAGTGCAAGCTAACTCAGTTTTAAAACTCTCAGACTTCTGTGTAAAAATAATTCTGAGGGTTAGTGTATTTTTCAAAAGATATATTTTATTTATTTGAAAGAGTTTCAGAGAGAGACAGAGGCAGAGAGAGAGAGAGAGAGAAGTCTTCCACCCGCTGGGTCACTCCCAGACTGCCATGACAGCCAGGGCTATGCTGATCCGAAGTCAGGAGCCAGGAGCTTCCTCTGAGTCTCCCACATGGGTTCAGGGGCCCAAAGACTTGGGCCATCTTTCACTGCTTTCCTAGACCGTAGCAGAGAGCTGGATTGGAAGTGGAGCAGCTGGGACTCGAATTGGTGCCCATATGAGATGCCGGCACTGCAGGTGGTGGCTTTACCTGCTACCACAGCACATGCCTGGTAATGTATATTAAATAATAAAATCTTTCCTGATATTTATATTATTATATTATTTCTTTATTTCAATAAACAAGTTATCAACTCCATGACCAATGCTTTGGTCATGAAATTTGGCAAAAGAAAATAAACTGTTGAAATCTTTACTTAATGTATGCTAAACTGATCTTCTGTATATAAAGAGAAATGAAAATGAATCTTGATGTGAATGGAAGGGGAGAGGGAGTGGGAAAGGGGAGGGTTGCGGGTGGGAGGGACGTTATGGGGGGGAAGCCATTGTAATCCATAAGCTGTACTTTGGAAATCTATATTCATTAAATAAAAGTTTAAAAAAATAAAAAAAGAAAATTAAAAAATTATAAAATAAAACATAAAAAACTTATAAAAATAAAACTTTGGTTTTAAAGTTCTGACATCTTAAAAAAATCTGCAAAAATATAAAGAATTTTTTTCTAAATACTGTTTGGTGAACTCTCTACTTAGTGTAGGCCTAATTTTACGAGTATAAGATTACCTGAAAATTTACCTTTGTGAAAAATAATAATGGGAAAGGGGGAGACAGAGGAGAAAGAAGGATGGGAATATAGATGGGAGGGAGTGAGGGGGGAGAATCACCATGTTCCCAAATCTGTATGTATGAAATACATGAAGTCTGTATTTCTTAAATAAAATAATAATAATAATAAAAACACTTTGCACCAGAATGTATCCTAGGTCTCCCTGATCACTAGTTGGTCACTAGATTCAAATTAAAGGCCAATGAGAAGCTATCTAATAAAAATACATATATAGAGAGAAGATTGAGAGAAACATTAGAGTTGAACGTAAGTCTCACGTTCCACCAACACATCACTTCCTTAAAATAAAGGATCACATAGGGCTCCAGAGAAAGAAATAATAGGAAACTATCAAAACACCTATCCTTGAAAGACATATGATATATTCACATAACAGAACACTACATTGTAATGAATGTATGTAACTTGCAACACATGAAAACACAGAAAACAGTTTTGATGCACTGCACAAACATGTGCTACGACTAGTCTACGTTCTTGTAGAATCAATGTAGTGTGGGAGCAAATACTCAATAGTTTTCCAAGATATGAATTATAATATTTCTGTAGAATGGAAATGTTTGGTTTGCAGGTTCTATTAATAGAAGCTAAGCAAAGAATTCAGACATAAGTATTTCATAGGTAGGACGCCTTCCTCAAGATACAAACTCTCCCTTAATCAGGGTGTTCTGTGTAGATCAGTAACTGAGGTGCCTGACTCTCAAGCATGGGAGACTAATTAATGTATGCGTACTGAGTTATCCACATATCTTTATCTTTTACTTCTATATTTGTAATAATTTATCTAACAATAAAACCAAAGCCTGAGTTTTCTATGGTTTGCTTGTTATTTTGTAATAATTTATCTAAAAAAATAAAACCTAAACCTGTGTTTTCTAGAGGTTAAGGCAGTCTTAGAGACTATATATGTGTACACATATATATAGTATATATATATATATATACACACACACACATATATATAGTTATGATGAGCATAATTTCTAATTTACTTCAGATGGAAAATCATAGCCCTCTCTGATTTGCCATCCTGAGCATTCAGTCCAAACATAATATGTAGTGAGAATAGGGATCCTATTTTAATTGCAAATCATCCCATTAGCATAGGCAGTATAGTTAAACAGAAGGATGATTTAAGAACCTGTAAAATGAATTGTTCCTCCAAGTTAGAATGAAGGACAAGTCTGTAAGCCTTTTCTTTAATAAGTACATAATGAAACCAAAGCAATTCCATGTCCTAAATTCTTTGGACAGCTTCTTCTATATTACATGAACAGTTTTTAAGGTCTACATTATATCTAACACATAATTAAATCTAGGTTTATATTAGCTAAGCCAGCATATAAATTTGCAAGTATCTATCAGGGACAGAATATTGTATATAGAACATCTTGTTATGATACCTGTAGATAGATATTAGATAGATAGATAACAGATAGATAGATATGCCTGATAAAAAATTAAATTCAGTATTCCTTGATCCAGCACACTGAAATTCTATTTGCAAGATGTTAGATACTGTTCATGAGCAAAGAGTTTTTGAGTAGATCTTGTCTTTTCTGTTAATCATTTCCCTTTTAACCCTCAGCCTATGTTGAGTTCAAAGTCTAGCAGTTATTTCAACAACAAATGTAGAAATTGAGAAAAATTCTGTATTGAATTTCTTTTCATACATGCTTATTGTATTTATATTATGTTTCTACTCACTTTATTACTACAAAATATAATTCTTCTGAAGAAAAGTTTTTCAAAAGACATGGGGAAAGTGAAAATCATATGCATGATGTTCATCTGAAAATGTACTTTTTTTTCTAAGATTTATATTACTTATCCATTTGAATGGCAACATGACAAAGAAAGGGAAAAGAGAGATAGATAATAGGTAGGTAGGTAGGTAGGTAGGTAGATAGATAGATAAATTTATTTAATGGTTCTATCTATTTAATGGTTCATTCTCCTAAATGATTGCAACATTTGGAAATGGTCCAAGCTGAAGCCAGGAGCCTGGGCTCCATCTAGGTCTTTCATTTGGCTGCCAGGTTTCAAGTATTTGGAGCTTTATCTGCTGCTTTCCCTGGCACAGTAACAAGGAGAACAGAAGAACAGACAGGACTTGGACAACCTGCTGTACTGACCCTGTCTATCAATTGTATGTGGTACCTTCATACAAGCGTCATTTACTAGAGTCACATATCTTTCCTTCTGGGTTCTTTATATTTTGCATCTTATTTTCTCTCCTGCCTTTGTTTTTTTTTTTTTAATTTTAGTTAATTAATTTATTTGTTTGAAAGGCAGTGTCACAGAGAGGCACAGGCAGAGGGAGAGGTCTTCCATCCACTGGCTCACTCCCCAAATCCTCCAATAGCTGCAATGGCCAGAGGTATACCAATTCAAAGTCAGAAACCAGGAACTTCTTCTAGGTCTCCCACGTGGGCGCAGGGGCCCAAACACTTGGGCCATCTTCTACTGCTTTCCCAGGCCATAAGCAGAGAGCTGGATCAGATGTGGAGCAGCCGGGACTTGAACCAGCTTCCATGTGTGATGCCAGAGCTGCAGGAGGTGGCTTTATCTGCTACGCCACAGTGCCAACCCCTAAATAGACATTTTTCTAAAGAAATATTTCCTCTGGGTCTGCGCTGTGGTGTAGCAATTAAAGCCTCTGCCAGCAGTGCCGGCATCCCATATGGCCTCCGATTTGAGTCCCGGCTGCTCCACTTCCCATCGAGCTCTCTGCTATGACCTGGGAAAGCAATGGAAGATGGCCCAAGTCCTTAGGCCCCTGCACCGTGTGGGAGACCTGAAAGAAGCTCCTGGCTCCTGGCTATTCTATTTCTCCAGGTAATGGACTTAAGGAGATATTGTTACGGGTATGAGATGTATTGGAAAATGTTGTGTACTCTGAAGCCATGCAGCAATAGATTTTTAATCTCTTCTAGAAAGAAAGGCTCAAATTTTAATAAATGCTTTTTAGAGCATCATATAAGAATAAAGAGAGGGTGACAGACTACATATCAAACTTGGGTTTTTTATTTTTAACCATAGATCATAAGCCTTTAGAGATGGATGAGTTCTATTAGCTTAAGCTTCTCTTTTTAAAGCCTAAGCAAACTCTTTTTGAAATAAAGGCTTACGTTTGTATTTCTCTTCTCTAATTCTAGTGTTATTTTCAGAAATCATTAATAAAAATCATAGATTAATGTTTAAAATGTGAAAGTAAGTGGGAGTATAAACTATTAGAAGAACATAAAATGAAGCATGTGATTTCTTATATAGGGACATTTTTGTGCTTTCTCATAGTATTTTAGTCATTTCTTGAATAGGAATCTCCAATATTTAAAAATTAAGCATCTTTTTAATTTTATGAGAATATTCTGATAATAATACTGATAAAGAAAAAGTAATACTGACAAAGAAAAATTTAACTTGAATTATTTTTGTCCTATGATAAAAATTACCTTAGCTATAGCATTTATCATTAAAATATTTTAATTATTTAAATGTATACAAATACCTAGATACTAGTATAATCATGTTTTGATTTTAACTTTTATTTGAAATGCAGAGACAGAGATGGGGAGACAGCAAGACAAAGAGATTTTGCATACATTTACTCCCCAATTTCCCACAACACCCAGTGCTGAGTCTGCCTGAGGCCAGGAACCTAGAACTCAATTCAAGTCTTGATCTAGGTGGCATGGACCCAAGTACCTGATGCCTCCCACAGTGTGTATTAACAGAAATCTGGATTGGAAGCAGAAGAACTGGGACTCAAATTAGATATTCCAATATAGAATGTGAGTATCCCAAGTGGCATCTTAACTGTTTCAACAAAAGCCTATCTCCATAATTTCAGTTTATGTATGTGATTTTTTACACTGAATTATAATATTTAATTGTAAAAATAATATGTAAGGACAAAATTGCATGCATGTAACTTATCTGTGTAACTTTAAATGTGAAGTAAGTTGCACATAGTTGGTATGTATAATAATAAAATAGGCACTTGTGATTCACCATCTAACCTAAGAAAAACATTCTCCTGCATACTCATTGATTATTTCTCTTTTTCCTGATTCTCCCATTCAAGAAGTAACTACTCCCCATGTAGGATCTCTGTCCTTAATGTGTTGTACTATGTGAATTAATGGTAAAACTACTACTCAAACAGTACTCTATATTTTGTGTGTCTGTGTGGGTGCAGTCTGTTGAAATCTTTACTTAGTATATACTAAGTTGATCTTTTGTATATAAAGATAATTGAAAATGAATCTTAATAAAGAATGGGATGGGAGAGGGAGTGAGAGATGGGATGGTTGTAGGTGGGAGGGAGGTTATGGGGGGAAAGCCACTATAATCCAAAAGTTGTACTTTGGGAATTAATATTTATTAAATGAAAGTTGAAAAAAAAAAAGAAGTAACTATCATACCTGATTTGCTTTTTCACATTTTTTACCATTCCTTTGCTTTTATAAAATAGACTTATTATGCATATAATGTCCAGAAATACAAAATATCATTGATTTTTCTAGCTTCTAAGTCTTGAAAGCAATAGTTCTCTAAATCTTGCATATTTTACTGAAGGTTATCTAGCAACATGTTTTTAAGATTCCTCTGCATGGATATGGTATATGATACTAAAATGTAACTTGGAACCAGCAAAATTCACAGTATAATTCCCACTTAAAAAAAAAAAGCATTTTTAAAAGATTTATTTATTTATTTGAAAGTCGAAGTTACACAGAGAAAGAAGGTGAGGCAGAGAGAGAGAGAGGTCCTCCATCCTCTGATTCACTCCCCAATTGGCCACAATGATCAAAGCTGCGCCAATCTGAAACCAGGAGCCAGGATCTTCTTCCAGGTCTCACACATGGGTGTAGGGGTCCAAGGACTTGGACAATCTTCTATTGTTTTCCCTAGCCATAGAAGGGAGCTGGATCGGAAGTGGAACAGCTGGGACTTGAACTAGTGCCCAAATGGGATGCTGGCATTGCAGGCAGGGGTTACCTGCTATGCCACAGTGCTGGCCCTCCAAAAAGGGCACTTTTAAATAGCATTTTTTCTGTTTAAGCCAAACAAAAGTGTACTAAAATGCAAGTATTTGCTTTTGATTATCATCTTATTCTGTACATATTATATAGTTTGAAATTCCTATCTTTACATGTTAAATTAGAATACATGATGCCACTTCTTCTTAGGTCCAACTATAATATTATGGTTTACCTTTCAGGTATTCAGAAGAATAATCTGATCATGTTATCTCAGATTAACTAATACCAGGGAATTCGAAAGTATTTTAGGAAGAAGAAAGAGAGAGAGGAAGAGAGAGATAGAGAGAGGTCCCATTTGTTGAGTCACCCCACAAATGACTGCAACATTCAAAGCTGAGATCAAGGAATTCAGTGTAAACCTCCTATGTGGGTAGCTGGAAGTCAGTCACTGGAGCCCTCACCACTGCCTCCCAAGGGCAGCATTAGCAGAAAGTTGGAGTCAGAAGCATAGCCAGGTGTTGAACCCAGCGTCTGATACAGGTCTCAGGCATTTCAAGTGGCTTCTCAACTGTTAGGCCAAAGTCTGACTTAATCTTAAATTAACCCTAAGAGCATGAACATCTGTGGGAGACAGGTGGGTGGGGAGGAGGCAGGCTTCAGGCAGAGGATTTTAAGTGGGCTTTTTAAATTCAAAAATGCTTTACTTAGTTTCCATGCTATAGCATGGGCCAATAAGTTTATTGTTTTCTGTTAGAATAATCTCATCATATGCCTACTATGCATGCATATAAGGTGAAGAAAAGAAGGGAACTGATTTCTAACTAAATGGATCAACAGGCTGCTTCATGAAAAAGAGATAACTCAAAAACTGTTGTGCATTAATAATCATTTAAAATCCTGTCTGTTTCCCGGATGCTATACAAGTTGTGTTTCCTATTTATGCTCCACCTACCTCTGATTCTGATTGCTTTTTGGGTGTCAGGCACTGTTACTAGAGCAGAGCATCCACGATAATGAAGTCAGAACCACTGATTGCTTTTGTCAGAAAGTAACATACTGCTTTGTCTGGGCTTCATGTGACCACAAGGTCTTACCCTTGCTTTATCTCCACAGTTAGAGTTGCAATATTGAAACAGAAACATAGTAAAAAAAAAAAAAACTCATAATATGAATACTTACATGAAATTTTTGATACAGATATAGTTTATAGCAAAATGTGCACATATTTGGGGTAGTGAAGCAGTACATTCTTCGATGGAAGTCCTTTGTTGGTAAAATTTAGCTACTAATATGTTCTAAGTAGTTCAGCTTAGAACTCAAAAATTGAGTGATAAAAATTTATTAAAAAAGGGAAACATTACAGTTAACCAGACTGAATGACTCTCCTTTGTCTTTCCTAATGATGTTAAACCTATTCATACATCATGTTTGATTATAATATCATTATTATTAGGTGCACTGTATAGGCCTGCCAGATGCTGTTTGAATCTATTGCACTGTGCTTTGCTTTGCAGTTTCCATTGCAGTTTCCACACTTTTCTTATTTCCCTGTTATTGCACACTCAAGTAATTTCAAACATGTGCTATCTCTACTGACAATTTTGTACATAAAAAATGTGGCAAGGCCACAAATGGAATGGGCTGCAGGTAAAAAGGAGATACCCTGTGTTGAACATTTGATACTAAGAGGCCAATAAATGGTTGGAGGCAATAATAATCTAGGCTTGAAGACCAAGGTTAATTCTGTAACATAAATCATGTTCAACAGATCCATTCCAATGCAAGGCTTAGCAGGACAGATTCATCACATCTATAGCCAGTCTGGTCACCAAAGGTTGTGAGAATCTGATAAAGAAGATAGGTTGATTCCATCATGAGACCAGCAGTTTTTATAAGACTGCAGACATACAGAAAAAATATTTAAAAAATAAATCAAAATTATCAGAAAGAATTCCAGATTAATTTCTACTCTGAATTACTTCTTCAAGCAATAGATATCCTTTTAAAGATAAATCGTTTAGGGGGCCAACACTGTGGCGCAGTGCATTAAAGCCCTGGCCTGAAATGCTGGCATCCCATAAGGGTGCCAGTTCTAGTCCTGGCTTCTCCTCTTCCCAACCAGTTCTCTGTTGTGGCCTGGGAAAGCAATGGAAGATGGTTCAAGTGCTTGGGCCCCTGCACCTGCATGGTGGACCTGGAGGAAACTCCTGGATCCTGGTTTCTGATCGGCCCAGCCCCGGCCATTGCAGCCATCTGGGGAGTGAACCAGCAGATGGAAGACCTCTCTCTGTCTCTACCTCTCCCTGTAACTGTCTTTCAAATAAATAAAATAAATATTTAAAAATATCTTTTAGATATTACTAATATTACTACCATCATCAACCACTGTTATATACATCCTACTACTTGCCATCATTAAGTTTCTGATAGGTGCCGGCTACCACAATACTCAGGTTCCGTACGCTGTTTTGCCTGATTTATAGATCAGTTCCCAAAATAGATGTTATTATTCCAAATGTGTAGGGAAAGAAACACAATGAGCATATTTACTTCCTACAGCTGGTTTCATATCACTCAGGTTTTATCTCAAAGAGTGCCTCCCTTGGTTTAGTGATACACATTCCTTCTACAGATGCATTTGCACTGAGTCACGCACTACTTGCCCCATTTTCTAGATATCCCTTGCCCCTACCACATACAACAATGTCTATTTCATTTTCATTTATATTCATAATATTATCATTTTCTGAAATTAAATTATTTGTTGTCTAGTTTCCTCATAAGAATATAAATTCCTTGAAAGCAGAATCCATTTGTTTTGTTTACTATTGAATACCAGAAGAAAAGATCTATGTTTCCCACTTGTTGGCATTTAGGAAATGTTTGGTGAGTGAATAAAGGGATGAACATCTCAAATGATAATTTAGTAAACGACAAAAACAAGACAAGAACAAACAAAACTTTCAGCATCCATCCAAATTAATATTTCATTTTTACTGTATTTCTTATCCTCTTATGTCAGGATCATTATTTTGTGGTCATCATGATATCAAACTCACCACTATTGAAGAGATTTGTCAAATTAGAAGAAACTCAGCCCTCCAGGGGTAATAGAATTCTTACCAGATTTCAGATCTAAGATAGAGCTGCATCCTGTCGCCACAGAGGTGGATTTGATTTATGGCAGGAAATGTACGTTGCCTTCTTTGAGAGCCACTGATTTGTACCTCAAATTCTAGATAGTGCCAAAGTAAGAAAGAAGATAGCAGTCTTGCTATTGGCATCCTCAACTGCAGTCATTTTGAACACTCCAGGGTTGGAGCTGGGATGTATAACCTAAAGTAAAATTTTTACAAGCACTTTGCTGTGGTGATTCTCTATTGATTGCAAGCTTAATATTAATCAAATCAATCATTTAGTTATGACAATGGCTAACATAATTGAGGGTTGTATTGAAAAAAAAAACGGTTTCTAGATGTTTAGAATATATAGAATATACTACTGCTTGCATAAAACATCTAGGCAACTGAATCATTGGGTCATTCATTTTTTCTTTCCTTCTGTCTAAACAGTATTCACCACGTCTCAAGTTTATTTAGTTGTATTACTGAGGGGGGAACGAAGAGAGAGAGAGAGAGAGAGAGAGAGAGAGAGACTTAGAGAGAGACCTTCCATTGGCTGCTTCACTCCCCAAATGCCTGCAATAGCCCATGCTGGGCTAAGGCCAAACACAGAGGTGAGAACTCAATTCAGCCCTCCTACATGGGTGGCATGAACCAAGTATTTGAACCATTGCCTGCTGCCTT